GTTCAGTTGCCTAATTATATAAATAAAGCAACAGAGATCTCAACAAAAACTTGGTGGCCTACCGCCCATGGATGAAGGATAGACATCCAGGTAATAAGGCCAAAAAGCTCCTGTTCTGCATAACAGGGGCTTCCTGACTTGTCTTAACTTGTCTGACTTTTGTTTCCTTTTTGACATCCAAAAAACTGTCTTCATTTTATTTGCATGAACAGTTTGTGCTTATAAACCTGCTTTCTCCTCTGGCTAAGCCAGTCACTGATGAAAGCCAGTGGATACTAGCTGAAACGTCTGACGTTCCAAAATCATATCCAGTTGTTTAAGTAACTGCTTTTTGGCGAACATATATACTTTACAAAAGAAACAGATCACCACAAAGTATTGTTTAAAGGCAATGATATGCCAAGCATCAATTATTGTGACATTAAATTGTGTATAATTTCTAGCCAACAGAAACTAAATGGCCCTAAATTTATACTTATCATGGAGCTATTTGCATTTGAAACAATCAACACTAAAAATACATTAGACAAGGAAGGAAACAGAAGCACTAACATGTCGTCGCCAATTTGTCTGGTACACGTGATTCCGTCGCTAGAGGGCGAAGCTGAGAAGAGAGAGAAGTGGCCCTTCCGTCCTCTCACGTCTTGTTTTTGCGCACGTGTTGACCTCTGCGAGAACCGATAGGAAGTAAATGATTGACAAGTTTTCGATTGTACAAGTGAACTTTGACCCGTAAAAGGTTATTATGTTCCGTACGTGTTGGCTTCTGCAAAACCCGATAAGACGTCATGAATGATAAACAGGTGCGTAATGCGTAATAAACTTTGAGCAAAGGTCAAAGGTGAAAGACCCGATGTGACCCCTGGACGACAAACTCATTTTTGGGACTATTGATGACAATGGCGTAATAGGAAAACATATTTTCAATCGACCGACACCTAACTGTACCCGCAGACGAACAATCATGGATATTTACAGCTTCCGCTCTTAAGACTTCATCTCAAATCATAACTTTGTCAGATAACAGGGGTGCCAGAGTATACAGACTGCAATTTTACGGAATACAGTGCAATGTATTAGTATACAGTGCAATTTACGGAATACAATGCAATCGTACTAGCATACAGTGCAATTTAACGGGATACAGTGCAATTTTACTAATGACGTTGAATCACGTGACTAATGGACCCGGCTTTCCGAGACGCCAATGATGGAGCGTACTCACGTATTTCTGTGTTTTTCAAGCGATCTTTGACCGTTCTCGTAAATAGACCTTTAGTCAAATCACTACATACTACACACAGGGCATTTTAATGCACAGGGATCATTTCGAATTCGCTCGAAAAAGACAGAAATATTTGAGTCTAGCGGCGTCCGCCATCTTGAAACTAAAGGGGCCGGATCCAAGTCACGTGATTCAACGTCATAAGTATTAAAATTGCACTGTATTTCGTTAAATTGCACTGTATACTAATACGATTGCACTGTATTCCGTAAAATTGCACTGTATACTAATACGATTGCACTGCATTCCGTAAAATTGCACTGTATATTAATACGATTGCACTGAATTCCGTAAAATTGCACTGTATACTCTGGCACCCCTGGATAAAATGCGAATCTGAATTAGTACGCGTCCTTACAAAGCGCATTTATTTCTTTGAATGACACTAAATCATGTTTTTTGGTTCCCAATATACATGTAATATAGCTGCTCAGTTCACTCACCTTATTTTTTGTTGTGGTGATATCTCCCCTGATTTTTGCGGCGTGCAGTAAGCGGTGAACAATGACAACTGTTCCATGAACGTTGTGACACCGCGCCAGTGCCCTATTGTACAGAGCAGTAGCTCTGGTCAAGTTTCTAGTGTCTCCAGTTTCTGTTCCTCTTTTCAGGTACACGTCACCCAGACTCTTGATCGCTTCTGTTTCTAACATGTTGTCGTCTTTTACTATCGCCTCTACCATCACCTGTGCGTATCCAACCAGCAAAGGGTCTGTGTTGCCTCCGGTAGCCCGTCTCTTGTCCAGATTTTGGAACTTTGCCGCTACCTTTGCAGGTGTAGTGGCCTCCTTACCATGTGACTGTTCCTTACCCTGTGACGACAACCCCCGCAAAAGCCTCTCCGTGTAGTGGTAACGATGTTCTATACCATCTGCCTGTTCTTCATGGTAACACCGTACCTTAGCAGCCTGATAAAGCGCCAAGGCTGTGTTGAATTTCCCCACGTCCTTCCCGAGCCTTCCCTTCTCCACGTTCACGTCGCCCAGAGTTTTGAGCAGCTCCACTTCCGCCAGCCTGTCCGTGTCGGCCATGGCGTCCAATAGGGCACGGAGGTAGCCTGTCTCCGCCCGGGCTAGTCCGTACCTCCTGCCCTTCTCGTCCGCCTTACAGAGTTTCTCACACACCCGCAACATGGCGACTTTCTACCACGAAAACATTTTGGTCTGTCTTTACGGTACCGGTTTCACTTCGCACTGCTTGTGTCAACATTACGCCATCTAGAGTTAAAAGTTCGAAAGCCACAGTAGTGTAATCTCCAAGCAGATACAGTCGGGGGCTGGGACGATCAGATTGGCCAACCGAGTCACCATTTGCCCCCCTTGCCCCCCTTGCCCCCCTTGTAATGGGTACTGCTTTTTTAATTTGATAGCGTGTTGCCATTTGATACTGTATAATTATATTGCAGCAACTGAAAGATTTGCTTTGAGAGTCAGCTCACTGTACATCCCGGTGTAGATACTCAAGATAACTTGCGTACAGAAATAAAGAAATTCTCAACTAGAGTTCTACGATCTCATACCTTCGCCAAATGATGTTACCCTTGGGCCTTGACTTTCAAAATGATTTTCATTAATCATAAAAACAAGATCTGAAAATCGCCATTTGCATGAAATTAATTATATCAATTGATCTTGTTATTCACCTAATAACAGTCTTGTCTTATGAACAATGGCTAATATAGAATTTCTTTAAAATTATGCACATATAATTATGCAAATGATGTCCTGATTTGAATATGCTGTTTTAGATGATGTCCGCCTTAACTTAAGTTAAAAATGCCAGAAGTATAAAATTCCCTGCAGTTACTCTGGAATCATAGCTTTTTTGTACTAATTATGCTAATTAAGCCGCCATTTGCATAACCATTCCCCGCCAATGTTGTTCAAAATAACACATGCCACATGTTTGAAGAATCATATCATGAAAGGTAGATGTATATAACTTCCTTATTAACTATGCTAATTACCTACAGATTTACACAACTATCATTTTAATGTGTCAAGCATTTCTAAGCTACCCACAACCAAAAACCATGATGATCCGTCAACCGGTTCTTGAGTTATTCTCCTTTGAATCTTTTTCAACGAATGCTCCAGCGGTTCCAGAATGAGCCCCTAGGGGTCCCAAACTCATGTCACTTCTTCCCCATCACAAGAGCTACCTACATGTACCATCCAAATTTATGACGCTACCATGTCCAGATCACGAGATATCAAAAGTTCAGCTGCAGTAATGAAGAGAATGTCTAGATTATACGGAATATACAATACTAGATAATATGTCAATCATGTAATGATAGACAAGAAACGTAAACAGTAACTTCTCTCCGTGTGGAAACTGAAGCCCGTCTACAATAGTACAGTACTGCTCATTACATTACATGCAGTATTTCTCCTATGCAGATATTTTTTTTAAATAGTTACTACGATTGTCAACTCATGTGAATTACTCACATGTTTTGGGTTAGAAAAAGAGGTGGTAAATAAAGGTTTGTTTACCTCAAAATTGAAAAGTTTAAGGTAGTAACAATTTGGGTCGCATTCACAAGGAAGCTTGTTCCATAGTGATGTAGTTCTAGGAAAGATGCTTTTAGCCTGGAACTTTCTTCTGAGAGATGGAGTATGGATGAAGAAAGTGTGATTTGCTTCCGTAGTAGTGGCAAAACGTGTCATTGCCAAGAAAGTTCGTGATGGGGGACAAGCTAATGAAGCACAACTGAGATCAAACTTGTAGAAACATTTGGATAAATACTTAAATTTTAGGCTTAAGTTTTACAAGTTACTTCCAAGTTTAAGTCTACTAGTTTACACTTAAGCTTTACTTGTAAGCTCTAGTGCGGATGGTCGGAGAGCCACTGTACATAAGTGCTGAGATTCCCGCCTGTCGCCTATGGACGTCCTGAAAAATAAGAAGTAAGAATCATCAGGGATGAGATGTAGGATGGTTTCAAATTAGTAAACTAAACATGGTTTGTGACTGGAGCTATGATGGTCTGCTGCCTTATTATGTTGGGTACTAATAAGATGTGCCGTGTTAATGCTTCGGTCCCAATTGCGCCGGTGCCCGTCGGGGATGTAGCGGAGCTGTAACAATAAGGGAGAGAACCCAAACACGTCTAACCTACAAATCTATGTGCCGAGTTATTAACAATAACTTACATGCCAGGCTTAATATATGTGCGTTAGGAGATGGTGCTAGTAGAGTTGTTATTTGCCGGCTTGATGACAATTAGGTTTGTGTTTATGTTGTTACGGCCGCAGTGCAAAGAATGCTCCAAATGCCCCCATTTGCATATTACAGATAGAAGGGAATCTGGCACCTCGTACCTGTTACCAGCTATAATAATGGTAGAAATTTTTCGATGAAAGTTTCTTCCAGCACGAGTACTGGTACCTTGGGGGCGGCTCCGGGGACGCAACAGACCCAGCTCACGTAGTTGTGTCTTCAGTTGCGGTCTTGGAGGTGGCGCCACCGACTTGAGCTGAAGGAAGAAGCTGACGCAACCAGGTCTGCCAAGCGACTAGGGTCGTTGACAAACCGAGTCGCTTTGCAGGCCTGGTCGCGTATTCTCAGGCGAAGTTCTCACTGATCACGGTACTGCAGAGTACCCAATGTATGTGCAAACTCTCTTGATGATCGTAACAGACTCGGCTGCCATCTACTCCGACTGTGAGAATACTGCCACACTCAACGCCAGCGTAAACTCCGGTACAATCACCTCCCCTGGTTATCCAAACAGGTACAGCAACAACCTCCGGTGTTCCTGGACGATAACTGTCAGCAGGGGAAGGCGGGCCGCCATCAGGTTAGTCCCGTCGGAAGCTTACTCCTTTAAAGTTGGCTTCATTGTCTTTTAGTGCTTTACTGTGTTTATAACATGTGGCAGTTTTAGATTAAAGGTACTTGCTCTATCCTGTGGGTGTGGACCTTAACCAGTTCGTTTTCACCTTTCTTGTCAAACTAAGAAAAACAATCAATCCAGTCAGCTATAATCAAAGACATATGCAGACAATTGCCCCTGTAAAGTAACAAAGTAGCATAAAGTAACGACATTTCTCCATCCATATTTAAGTAATTTTGGACGGTTGTCCAATGCAAACGGTAGCATCATGTGATCATTTCTCGATAACCATGCAAAGCCTTTTGCTATGTTATGCTGATGTTGAACGTTAACCACTTGCAGGTTCACAGGTTTGGACATAGAGGTACAGTGCTCTCCAACTTTTTGCATCACTGACATTGGCATAAACCTATGATTTGCATAAAATTCTGACAACCGAAACAATTTGTCACCCACACCATTCATTATAAATCGCATGGCATAATTGCATCAGGTATTATGACTACTTGATATTGGACTAAAATATTTCAAAGTAAATAGCACACTGACCCTAAAATATGTGAAAGAAATACATGTTGTTGTTACTGTTCAATGGTTGTTCTCTGTTCTCACTTCGTTTTGGCCAGCTGAGAACCCCCAATCACTCAGTAATGATTGTGTGAAAAGAGGTCCTTTGTTCCTTCTTTGTGTCCTTGATTGGAGCTGTTACGTTGTTTTAGCTTTGGCAAGCTGTTGCCCAACACATGGGTGGACAGTATGATGTAACTATTAAGTTTGTTATGTTACTTAATGTGGCTGATGTGACTGGAAGATTGCAACATGGTACATGTATGTTGTTGTGGTTTAAAGTGAATGTATAAATAAACATCATGTTCGTTGTTGTTTCAATTGGCCCCAGCCAAGTATCATCCATAACCAACTGACCTCCCTTCCTGACTATCGTTTAGACTCTCCTAGAGGGTATTTGACTAACCCTTTTATAGGAGTAAAATTCCCTGACATATCATTCATGCAAATAACAGGAGGGCACTGTACAAAGCGACTGTCCTTACGACTACCTGACGGTGTATGACGGCGCCACATCCAGCGGCACACAGCTCGGCAAATTCTGCGGCTGGGACACAATTCCGTCGCCGGTCGTGGCCAGTGGGAGGACCATGCACCTCGTCTTCATGTCCGACCCTTCAGTAAGCGGTAAAGGGTTTTCCGTTAAGTAGGCGGGTAAGTAAATGTTATGTCTCACAGATAGTCAGTAATGATTTTGGCCAATGACGTAATCACATTAGCATACACTATGCATTAATACCAAGGCAAATTACAAAGAAATTGTTTATTAATATCAGATAGCATGTATAAATTAAAATTAAAGCCTTCAAATTTC